CGGCCGAATACCTAATCAAGGTACTTTCTAAGAGGTAACATGTTATGGAAATTTTTTTTTATTGATCTTAGGAACAGTAGTTTGACAACTCCACTGCGGACGAGATGCGCTCTTGACAATGTGGTTTGCTGTTTTGAGGCATTTTTTCATATCAAGAACGTTGCCATATTCATTAGAACTAATATCGGAAAACACTTTCTTTCGTTAAATGCCCTTTAAATCTTTCTCATTTAAAAGGTTTTGCTGTAAACGTCGATCAGATGCAGAATTTATAAATTTATCAATGAATGCAGTCAAAACAAGGAAAATGATGATAAACTTTTTTCGACGACATTCAATAAATAGTTATCGAGTAACGGTTAAATTTAGAGAATATTTTGACTAAAAAAATTCTTTCTATATATAGAAGGTGGTTGCCTCAGGTTTTAAACTTAACTCAGTATCTAAATTTAATGTTCTAATTTATAGCTCTTTTTTATGTCTCGAGAACCACGGGATTATCGAGAAAATTTTATTTTTCTTTACAAACACTTAGTAATTCATATAGTTCTTTTAAGTACTTAATATGCCTAATTCTGCCCATTAATATATCTAAGTTTTCGTAAATGCATTCACACTAGTATTCGAGTAATGATCAAACTCATACAAAGTTCTGAATGTTGCGTGGTCCTTGGCGACTACTGTATCTTCTACCATACACCTCTTGTCGCACGTAGCATCAACTCTTTTAACTTGGTTAGTAATCAAGTTTATTAAGTTAAATTGCATCTTGCAGACAAACTGCTTCTTTTAATTCTAATGCGCTCCTTCGTATCAGCAGTGTTTATTAAGTTTCCTTTTGAAAACCAGGATTTACTTTCCAAGTTATGCCGGAAGTTGCTTGATTCAGTGCCAGCTAACGGTCAGCACCGATTCTTCTCATACAGATAAAAATGCTTGGCCTCTTGCGAAAAGCAGCACCCGGTTTAAAAGGACTATTTTAATAATATGGGGATTTTTGGATGATCGGCGGCTCAATACCTTCAAACATACTTGATATAAAGCATGTTTGAAGTGTTCTTTCTTGCGGTCAGCTGACAGTAAAACCACGTCTTCGAATCATCTTCGTGTGATGATGAACAAAAGTTACCTTAAAAATTCAAATTCAGCCGTCTTCCCATTTTATGTGATATGCAATCCACTGTGGTTTGCAAAACATGGGTATACTAATTATCCTATTTGTATTCCTACCTCTTTTACTACTTAAGTAGTATTTTTTTACAGGATACTGCCTTCGCGGATGTCTGTAAGGGAACTGGTTCAAAATCCGGCATCTAACATTTCATTGCGTATCTTGACGTAAAGCTGCTTTCGCCAGAACTTTGATTAAAAGTTCGTGCAACTGGTCCGTGACCGTAAAGTATAGCTAGGAGTTCATTCGAAAGACATGACAAAATCGAATTTGTTAGTAAAACATAAATTTGATCGCTTTATTTTTATCAGATGAATAAAAAGATTCCTCAAAACATCTTTAATAAAGGGAGACTGTCTTTTTAATTCACCATATTGATGGCAATGTGCGTTAGCTTGGGCGAAGTCGGAGGAATCGAAGGCATGTCCCATGCTACGAAGTATAAAAAGCAATTCTTTTATTCATATGCGTTATGCTATAGGAGAACCCCAATACAAGTATGAAAGGTTTAAAATATATCCCTTCGGGACCACAAACTCCCGTCTGAAATTTATAAAAGGTAGGTGAAGCAAAGTCTAAGAAGTCGCACTGTTTTTAGAAACAACGAATGATTTCTCTTTTAAAAATTATTTGTCTCCATAGTTTAAAATTTATTGGCAATAACGCAATAATGCATATGGTTGGTAGAACACCGATACATGGCTGTACACCACACTTCACTACAACCTTTAAGGCAGTTTACGCGCTAGAGCTAAATGCAAATCATCCAGCCGTGGCACATGGAGAAAGAAAATAAAAGAAATGAGTCAAGAGGA